TCCCCTACATAGACTCTGGTAGTTAAGTACTTGGCCATTAGTTGGTGGAGTTTGGTGGGGAGGTTTAGGAAATGCAGTGTTGCTGGAGGAAGTACATCACTGGACACAAGCTTTAGGAGATTTATAGTTGAGGATAAATTATGTTCAGTACTTTCTTTTTGATTCAAGCTTACAGTTGAAGATGTCATCTCTCAACTCCCTATCTTGTCACCACTCCCTATCTCGCTGCTTATGGCTTTAACTCCCTGCCGTGATGGACTGTCATCCTTCTGGACCAGTGAGCTGAAATAGTCTTCCTTTTATAAGTTGTGTTGATTGTGGTGTTCTATCACAGTGACATTGAAGTTGCGTGAACACCTCTTCGGTTCCCATTCAAATGCAGACACTTTCTTAGTCATGCGGTCTCTGGGCCAGAGTAACAAACACATCCAAGCGAGGAGTGTGATGCTTTCAAGATCTAAATAGACCCACAAAGAGCTGTGTACCTTTCTTGGTGAAACTTAACAGTTTGTTTTCACTTTGAAGGACTGTATCTATATGTGCACACATACACAGACTCCTCCTTTACTGAAGCAGAAGATCCCTAAATTTTGTTTGATGTGAGAAGGTTTTATCAGCCAGTACAGAATGGTTGCTCACTCCTTAAAGTCAGTATCATGTCACAAGGGTAACAGACAACTGTGAGATCATATAGAGCGGACATGTGAGCCAGCTGAAAGTAAATGCTTATGCTGCGTCTTATGGACAGATGTGGAGCAAAGAAGCCAAGCTTCATACCAAATACCACTAGATATGTTCATCTTCTCAAGAAAGCAAAACGTATCTTACACAGCAATTTCATCTGCAACTCCCATTTCAGTAGGCTTGTGATACTCAGTTATCACTTTTTTCATGATCCATTTGTCCTGCACCCAGGCTAAAGAGAGGAGTTAAATAAGATGTGGGAGAAACCACCACCAGTAAACCTTGAAGTTTTGACAGAACCACTAATCTGGGTCATTCCTCCGGAGACAGAATGTTCTTTTGTTTCTTTGTTTTCCCAGATAGAGGCAGCTCTCTCAGTTTCCACTTGGCTTTCCTAATGCTAAACAGCCCTTCCCTCCCAACACAAATTAGGTAATCAACATGGGGGATTTGCCAAATTCTAAGTATATATGTTCCATGGTGAATTTTGAGAATGTTGAAATACTCATGGGATGAGTTCAGCAGTCTATTAGACCCACCATGAGTTGCTTTTGACATTGATCATTTGATTTCCATTGGCTCTTATCTTGACCTGAGGGCACAATACAATTTGAGTTCTTTGAGAATCCATGTCAACTTGGGACCAATGTTTAGTAGGACTTAGAAGGTCTTATTATTTTTTAGTCCCCAAGGTACAATTTTCCCATAAAAACAAATAACAGCAAAGCAACAACAAAAACATAGGCCCATTTGAGGAAGGATGGGAGAAAGATTAACTATAAAATTATTTGCTTGTGTAGAGGATCTGGGCCACTACATTGCCTTAAGTCTGGAAGATAGCCGGACTACGTGCTTCTGTTATTTTAATTCAAGGTAGCCTTCATTTATTTGTTCTGGAACTTCTCTATTCATAAAGAGCAAGGAAGAATTCAGTTGGCCTCCTATTTCTTATTTCTGGGAACACCATGACTAATTAGTCAATGCCATAGGTCAATATGAGTCATAGAATTGTGATCATTTGCTATGCAACTGCTGTCCATTACAGTAAGTTCACTTGTCTTCCTTTGATGCCTGAGTGAAGTCACATCACTCCAGGATCCCACTACGTCCACTGCATTTAAGATAGCCAACTGAGTTTCAGTGAATCCCGCAACAGCAACTTAAGGAAGGAAAAATTTATCATGGTTTTTATTTCCATGGGATACAATCTATAATAACAAAAAATAGTGCAGTAAGGGCAGGGGGGTGCCTGGTAGCCATGTGTCTACACTGAGGAAGCAGAGTTATGAATGTTTGCACTCAACTTGCTTTTTCCTACTAAGTGCGTCTAATCCATGGATGGTTCCTCCTACATTTATGATAGACCTTTGAACCTCAAATAATTTAATTTAAACATGCCTTCCCAGATATGCCGGGAAGATTGCCCCTTCAGTTGATTCTAGGTTCAATGGAGTTGACAAGTATAGTCATCATAAACTTCATTAACTGGAAGCCAAGTAATATCAGACATCTCTAGCTCATTCAGAACAGACTATCTTTTGATCAATATTTCAGCCAACCAATCAAACCAGCTGTGGTGGTTTGAATAATATTGACCCCCTCATAGACTCATATGTATGAATGCCTAATCATCAGATAGCTGCATTATTTGAAAAGGATTAGTCGGTATGGCTTTGTGGGAGGAATTGTGTCAGTAATGGTAGGTTTTGAAGTTTCAAAACCCTGTGCCAGGACCAGAGTTTGTCTGTCTTTGTGTGTGTGTGTGTGTGTGTGTGTGTGTGTGTGTCTCTGTCTCTGTCTCTCTCTCTCTCTCTCTGCCTATGGATCAGCATAACTCTGTTATTTCTCCAGCACCAGGTCTGTTTATGAACCGTTATGCTCCCTGCCATGATGATAATGGACCTACCTCTGCAATTGTAAGCTAGCATATAATTAAATCTTTTCTTTGATATGAATTGTCTTGGTCATGGTGTTTCCTCTCAGCAATAGAACAGTGAATGAGACACAAACTCTTAGCACCTCTTTTGTAATTACATAAGATTCACCATTAAACCCAGAATCTCCAATCCTATCTATAAATTACGTCTGTCCTTGTCCTTGTTTAATTTTCCCACCACCTTTTTATCGTACATTTAAAATTAATCTCTGATTCATCAAATCACTGCTTCTGTGAATTATGAAGCTCAAGAACGTTGAAGAAAGGTCTGTGTAGCTCACTTCTAGGAGCTCGCAGAAAACGAAAGCTGCTTATAAGTTTAGTGTGTGGATGAGTGTTAGGGGCGAACGCTGTGGAATGTTAGCGTTGTCTTACTGTGTGTTTCCTTTGGAGAATGTCATTGTTGCTGCTATTTCCAGAGACGATGAAGAGTTAAAATTCCTTCAAGCAAAATGGATAGGGCACTATTATAACAGTGTGGGGAGAGCAAGAGCGAGAAGGGTGGTTCCTCTGGTAAAAAAATCCCATATGATTTCATTGTTGATGTTCACAATCTCATCGGAGCTTTCCCACACATCTCCATCTCAGTTTAGATCTCCATCCCACCCTATTCTAATCAAACTGCAGAGAGCCTTTGATGCCGAGGTTTAAACGTGGGTTATAAGTTAGCCAATCACATGATGCGGGCTCGTGTTTGGTCTTCAGAAACTTAAGCTCCATAGCTCCATGAACATAAATCCTTTCTCGGGGCATACTTAGAAAAATTTAAAGACTTAAGTATATCTGGATCTTGAAAATCCCATCTCAGAGCGCTTGCTTTTCTCTTGTAGCTTTGTCAAGTGATGTGAGAAGCAAGCACCTTGCATCATATTCGCCAGTTTTCCACAAATGTTCAAGTGTTATGCACAGAATCACAAACACTTTATTCTTACAAGTGGTGAATCAAGGTGTCAAATGTATTTATCACATACAATTTTTAAAAACCCTTCATCACAATACATGACTAAAGATACTCATAATAAAAGGAGAATATTTGGAAACTTTAGGTATAGGCAATGAAGACACCAAGCTCCAGAAACCACCAAACCGTTAGAAAAAATTACCCTTGTAGTTCTGTTTCTTAAGAAACACTTAGGTTGACAAAATCAGTGTTAAGCAGGATTCTCTCTTCATAATAGCCTCTCTCTCTCTCTCTCTTTCTGAGTTGTATACCTTCACATATGTGTACAGCTACATACAACCATATGTGAGTATGCAGAGGTCATAGGATGTTCTCATTTATTCTGTGATATCACTCTTTGCTTTATTCTCTTGAGACAGGTCTCTCAGTAAACCTGGATCTCAGTCAGTAACCAGAAAGCCCTGGAGATCTCAGTCTCTACTCTCTACAGTACTGGTATAAAATATGAACATGTGGTCATACCCAGATGTTTAACTGGTGCTAGGGATTTGAAATCAAGACCATATGCTTGGATAGCAAATGCTTCTACATGATGGGTTACCTCCTCAGTCCTAGGCAAAGGAAATGGCATAATAAATTTAACATATGTGTCATGGATGCTATAATATGATATATGGTCATTATTAAAGGAGAATAATGATAAGTTATCTTACATGATAAGAGCTAGGAAGTCACATAATATCTATCTGTATGCAGTAATGGCAAAGACTGAATTTGATAGTTGCTCTATTGAGGAAGTTCAGCTCCTCAGCAGTCATGATCTAATGGTTGAGGGATTCCTGGTGAGTGCTAGTTATGAGTGGCACCGAGAGCCCAAGGAAGCTGAAGGACTGAAGCTATGCCATTAGATAAACTTCCTTGGGTAGTAGAATCTATTTTTCACTGTTTCAGTACTAGGCTCTGAGACATAAGATACTCATAGCAGATGCTGAACTTACATGCTACGGATGAAGGTTGGAAGCTTTTCCCTAATCTGACACAATACTTTACATAAGAAAAAAACTTGGAGGAAGAGCAATTGATTTTTGACCGTTGGTTTTAAATGGGCCAGGTTCCCATTTAATGATTGCACTGTGATGAGACAGAACTTCATGTCAGAAAGGCATAGAGGAGCAAAGCTGTTCACCCCATGGTGACCAGGAAGCAGCAAAAGAGTGTCTATGCCAACAGGCTGGTTCCTTTTGTTCCACCTCCACCTCCATACTACTGGATGGTGCTGTCTACATTCAGGGTAGGATTTCTTTCTTTATCTCTAGCCCCCACAGACACAACAGAACTGTCCTTTTCATCTTTCTCAGGCATCTCTAAACCCAATGAAGCTAACAATGAAGAATAGTCACAATAATACAATGACGTAACAGTCTGTAGCTTCTTGTCAAAACTCTGATTGCTTGAAGGAAGGGTGAGAGAACACTTACACTTGTTCTGAAACAGGTGGCTCATGCACAAATGAGAAGAGGTATAACGAAAGTGGGTTGAAAGGACGCTAGTGTGGCCACAGTGAAACTAAAGGAGCTTGCAATGGATCGTTGCCAGGAAAATGAAGAAGTAAGCCAACATTTTAATGATGTGGTAAACTTGACCTGCGATTGTATTTTGAGAATACCACTTATTGATAGGAGGACAATACACGTGAAGAGATGATAGATGAGCAAGGAGGGCTGTGAGGAGTTGGAGGCAGCAATTCATGTTGGCACAAATATAGCATAAGGGAGATAGAAAGCAGCTGATGGCGTTCTAGACAATCTGCAGGAGGCAAAGGGCGGGGGGACTTTGCTAGGGGCTTCACACTAACCGGTAATAGTCTGGATACTGAATAAACAAATGGGCACTGTGGTTGGGCACTGTGTGTTAAGCACTGTTATTTTCTGACTTAATCTACATTAAGTCCTCAGGGTGAAGTGGAGAGTATGAATGGTATCGCTCAGATTAAATTGTTTTAGGATTTTGAGATTTGTACAACACACTTATATGTACAAAATACATTTTTTTAAAAAAAATATCGCCAGTTATAAAGGTCTTCTCACTCCCATTCCATCATACTCTTTATTCTCATATCATCTAAAAGATGATCATCGCTGACATACTTTATTATGTTTTCTTAAGGATGGAATGGCCTCCTCCTCTCCTCTCCTCTCTTCCCCTTCCCTCCCCTCCCCTTCCCTCTCCTCTCTATTCTCTCCTCTCTTTTCCTCTCCTCTCTTTTCCTCTCCTCTCTCTACTTCTTCCCTTCCTTTTCTTCCCCTCTTCTATTCTCCTAATTTTCCCTCCCTATATCTCCAATTCTTCTCTTATCTCTTTCCCTACCTTTCCTTCAATACCCCAGCAAACCCTCATTCTCATAAAACGACTCACTTTGCAGTCCAGACCTTCTTGAACTTTTCAGCCAACCCCCTGCCTCTAAGGTACTGCGGGTGTAGGAATGCCCCATCATTATTGATTTGACTTTTTCATTTATAAGTAATGAGTTAATTATCATGGATTTTAGCTCTAATTTTTAAAGTTAAGATATCAATCATTTTCTATATTGGAAAATAAAACTTTGTGTTTTAAATTTTATGTTATTTTATTTTTGTTTGATATCTATATCTATCTATATCTATCTATCTATCTATCTATCTATCTATCTATCTATCTATATTACTATATAGCCTTGGCTGAACTAGAATGTTCCATATGATGAAGGCTAGATTCAAACATGGAATTTTCTTGCTTAAAACTTCCAAGTGCTAGGAATACAGGCATTCACTGACATGCCCTACAGGACATTCTGTGCTTTTCAATTTGATTTTATTTATATTTGAGATAAGGTCTGATGTAATCCAGGCTAGTTTTGAACTTGCTCTATTGCTGAAATGACTTGGCGTTGCTCTGGTTTTAAAAAATATTTCTGCATTATTTATTTTGTGTGTGGGTGTGTGGTATATGCTCGTTAAGTTGGTGTACAAGTTTCAGTGTGTGCATGTGAGGGCAGATGTGTGTTTGCGCATGTGTGTGGAGGCCAGATGTTTAACTAGCCCTATTATTCCTCATTTACTCTCCACTTTATTTTGTGAGACACGGTCTCTCCGGAAGCCCGGAGCTCCCTGATTCAGCTAGACCGACTGGACAATAAGTTGTAGGAATTTGCCAGTCTTTCTTAACTCTGGGGCTGTAGACACATTTTTACCAGAGTGCTGAAGGCATGAACTCAAGCTTTCATGCTTTATGGTAAGCACTAGACAAAAAGGACTATCTTTTCAGTCCCTAACTTCCAACTTCTAATCCTCTTGCTTCTATCTTCTGAGTTGACGGACATTATAAGAGTGTACCATAATGTCTGGAAGACAAACTCTGAGGATTACTAATGCTAACCCAGCCCCCCAACTGCTAACCTCTCTCTCTCTCTCTCTCTCTCTCTCTCTCTCTCTCTCTCTCTTTCTCTCACTCTCTCTCTCTCCACATGTGTGGAGGTGTGGGGCCGCGTGTAGTATATATGGAAATATATGTGCCTATTCCAGTATATATAAAACTGAAGAGTCATCTCTAACACATGGACAGGTACTAATATCCAACAAGTAGAATACAAAAGAAATAGAACTGACACAAAAAAGAAAAGCTTTCAATGTCAAGCCTAAATAGTATATGTCGCTCCCAACCACATTTCATTTGCCAGAACTCAAACTCATGGCCCCAACCCCAGTGAACACTGGCTAACAATTACAACCTAGTTGCCTAGGCATGCATGAAAGCTTCTATAGCTGGTATAATGCTGTTGAAGAAAAGTCTAATTGTTCCCGTCATTGTAATTCGACATAATTGGCCGCGGGGTTACATCATTGTAGCATTACAGTAAATTAGGTAATATTCTATCAAATTGAAAACACACCTGCTATGACTTTGAAAGAGAAATGTCACCTCTATTCCATTCTCTGCTGTATTTCTCAATTTATCAGATTCATCCAGAGAAACTAAATTCTTCAAACTGCCATAAAATCCTTGGCAATAATTATGAAGATGATAATAGTAACTCTAATGACATTGTTATGTTCTAAGTCAGTTTCTGATACTATGCTGAACTCTTATGTGTCTTTTCTACTGCAATTCATAGACTACAACAGGAAAGAGATGATATTGGTATTCCCATTTCAAAGATGAGCCACTGAGATCAAGAATGAGATCATGGTCTTATGTTTGAGAAATACTGTTCTCAACCCTTAATCTATGACATTCGAAAAGGGACTGCTCTTCCTTCTAGGTCAAGCTGTTCTATACTATGTCATAGGACTTAGCCCCACAAAAACTTCCAAGGTCTGATATATTTTATCAGTACTCTTTCTCCTAATTAATACATATATATATATATGTATATATGTATATATATATACATACATATATATATATATATATATTTCAGTCATTAGAAACTGCTGAACGTTTTCAGTATTGCTGAATCTTTCTTTTTAGAAAAGTCATGGATATTTGCTCTGCATGGTCAAACTGCTAAAATTCATAAATGGCATAAATAATTTGACAATAGCAAGCCTGTTGTGTTTAATGTACGTTCAGTGCTATAATTCTGGCTCAACAATTGTCCTCCCTGGCAAAGCTGCCAAGCTGAAACAATAAAGGGTTTTAGCTACAAAGTGAAGTTTTCTGGAATTACAATATTCCTTTTGACCTCTGCAATGACTAAATGCTATTTAATTTCTTCCCTTTATTCACAGCAGCGAGAAGGACTTGAAATCATGCAGGGACAGAGGTAGCATTTCCTTTGAAAGCCCTAGCCAGACATTAATACTCCCAGGAGCAGGGTGGGGATGCTTTCGGTTTGGTGTGGGAAGGCTTTATTTACTGTAATGCTACAGGTGTCCTTCTTCTTGACTGGTATCGCAAGAACTATGATGTAACACTGGAGTCAATTATTTGAAATTATAGTGCCTGGAACAATTAGACTCCTGCTTCCATGGTAGTGAACTGAAAATTGAACGGAGGCTGAAATGGAACTAGTTTATAGCTGGCTGAAGGTAGCTATACAGGAGCAGCATGACGGCTGCCTTTTTCAAGAGCTGGGGCTTTTAGGTACTGTTCCTGCTAATTACTTTAGGTGAGGAACACTATAGCTGTCAAACTTCACAATCAACTCTGGCTTTGAACTCGCTCAAACAGAAATGCTTGAGTAGTCAGGAAGCATTTCTTTCACTTGCCACTTCATTGAGGTGCTAAATGCAGGAATGTAGTCAGTCAGAGTCATTGTGTTCAGTCCCCTCTCCAGGCTGATTCAATAGCATTTGGTCTGCTGGGAAGGTTTTGAACTTCCCTGCTATACATAGCCCCAGCATTTTCAGTGCTGAAATGCATCTCCAATTGGGCCTACTCTACATGTCATTTGCCTAAAGAGCTTATAGAAGGAGATCACAAGGAGCATGATCTATAAATGAGCCTCTGACAAGGAGGAAATGTCAGCCGGAGATGCTGATTCTAAGAAGTGAGACCTGAAGCTGACTCATAAGGGTTTCAAATCCTGGGCCTGTCTCATCAGCAAAGCAGGTGGCCCAGGCGACAGGAAGGAAGTCAGCTCCTGAGCTCTGCTCTTCTTGGCTGGCAGTTCTCTATTGTAGGGTAGCATTTACTAATCCTTCTACTCACTCTTTAGGTGCAACCTACTTACACATGTTCTCCTTGTTCCAAACTCAGTGATAAGTTTGTCTCAGTCCTTCATTTACAGCAAATTCATCATTGATAGATTAGCAATGTGCTACTACCTCTTTGAGAGGGGACTTGATGATTTTAGAAGAGACCAGTGTAAGGTGAAGACTTATACTGGAATTTCCCTTTAATCCAAAGTACTAGGGCACCATATGAGATTGTCTTGACATCTCTAAGACCAATACAGTGTAAGAGGTTCCTTTCTTTTCCTGTGAGTAAAATAAATTCATGCAGTCAATGAAATTGAGAACCTAACGCAACAGGACTGGAAGTCTTACCTAAGCTGTGTTTCCCCCTTAAAACCACAATACGTGAGATAGTTGTAGGAGTTAACAAACACTCCTGGGTTGGTAAGAACAAGAAGAGATTCACTGCTGGTACATTTAGACAAGCACTCCCTAAAATTGTGTGACTAACAGTGGCTATAAGGTCAGTCTATCTTGCTCTCTATATTCATTTCCACCAAGTATGGGAAAATACCTTGGAAAAGTTTAATTTTCCTCTTCTGAAGTGGGGGCTCTTAATAGAGCTTACTTCATAATTTGTTAAAAAATTAAATAGATGAATAATTCTTTAAACAACATAGAAGATTGTTTAGCCTTTTAAAGATGCTTGCTAAGTAACTAAAAATGACTGAATGGTAATTGGACTGAGTTCATATAAATATTGTAAAAGATGATTGCTGGTTAAATATGATGGGAAATACATTTGGTCACTGTATCCTGATACTATGGCAAACTTAAGGCAATAAGCCTTTCAATATTTCCTTCATTATAGGAAATAATTCACAATGAACACCTTTCCTAACACTTTAATAAACCATTAGGGAAGGATTCTTAGGTAGCTTCAGGACCAGGCAATCACTAGAAAGAATTTTGTCTTAGAATTTTCAGCACTACTTACTAAGTACTGGAAATGGGTGATGAGATTAAAATTTATGATGTAATTATATTTAAATTCAATTAAGTAGTGCCATAAACAATGATAAACAACCTTGTTGAACCTCTCGGCTTTCGAACACATGCAAGTCCTAGGAAATGTTAGGTGGTTCCCAGAGAAGGCCAGAAGGCCCTTCGCATCCCACCCATCCTTTCAACCCTGACTTGTGTATCTTTTCACTTCGTTGTTCATCTGTATCTTTTGAAAAATCCTACATAATAAATGAATTCACATTCTGTATCCTATATTCACTCAAGAAAACTGATCAAATTTAATGTAAGAGGAATGGAAAGGTCATGGAAATAGTTTTTCAGCCAGTCAGTTTAATTATAGATGATTACTTACTGCTTTCGAATAGGGTTAAATGGGGGTAGTTGGGGGGGGCAGAGTTGTCAATCCACATGATCTAATACTACCTCATGGTGGATGGCACCAGAATGAAATTGAATTAGGCAACACCCAGATGAGGTGGCATGGAAAACTGATGGGTGTATGAGGAGAAACATTTATACATTTGATTAGAAAAATCTGTTTTGAGCACAGTGAAATAGGAAGAAATCAAGCAGAATCACCTTCTTTTCCCATACGACAAACAAGTGACACCCATTTGACCAGTGTATTACCTATAAAAAGCACTGCATTCCATATGCCTGAGTGTCCCATGGCAGAGTACATTGAGAGAGGAGAAAAGTGTCAGATGGAGACGTAGTGTCATCCAGATCTAGGAAGTGATTTAGTTGAGAATACATTGATGTAGACGAGATATTTCAAAGAAATATATGTAGTGTGGGTATTTGTGAGTATGTGAAGAAAGAAGAGAATTAAAAAAAAAACTACTCCAATATCCAAAGATGTTAGCTCCAGAGTTGGTTTAAGAGGGTGGGTTTGCTCAATGACATGAGCGTCGGCACCATGACCAAACATGACTGCAAGGATGCGTGACTCCTTTGAGGAAACCCTGGTGCAATGAAATGAAAAGAGAGTAGTTAGATTTTCTTTGAAGAGTTTTCTCATAGCAAGAGATAAAAGCAGACATCTATTTTCTTTGATGTTTTTATCCTACATTTTTGTATTTGATTTTCCTATAAGCATTATAGAAAATTTTCTTCTCCCGTAATTCTTTTCAGAGAAAGAAAGAATTATAGGAAGGGTACATCCCTTGTAGCTATCTCAGGAACTAAGAACAGCTTTCTTATAGTGGGACTATGGGCTCTGAATTTTCCTGCCTAAGTTTTAATCCATTATTCAAAATAATGTATCCGCTTTAAACCAAATGTTCTGCACTTCAGTGCTTTGCTTGTTGTTTACATCTTGGAAGGGCAAAGAGAAAGGTGTTAAACTTCAGATAAGCAAGGACACATCTATGGACCACGATGATATCATTCAATGTCATGCTTATACCTAGTCAGAAATGAGTGAACATCTGTGGATTAAAAAATAAAACTATAGTAGTGGCCAGCAGGAAAAAAAAAACACTTTTTATTGAGCTTTGTTATGTAGATGGGAATGGGCTTTGTGGAAAATAATTTATTTGCAAATAAAACAACTAATTGTTATCACTAGAAATACACACACAGAGTGGACTCAGAAAGAAAAAATGAGAAAGTACCATTTTAATATGGTTTCGACTAATGCTGCTATCTTTCCCCAAATCTACATTGATCATTTCTGTATGTTTGGTTTTGACTATTAGGAATAAGACCCACATAGCCCTCAATAAACAAACAAACAAATAAATAAGTAAATCCTACCAGCAATAATCTATCGACAACATAAGCAGGAGAAGCCTTATGTTATCAGTCCTGAGGCCTGTTCCTCAATTACTTCCTATATGTCTGTGATATGCTTCATTCTTTCATTCATTCATTCTTTCTTTCACCCACTCATCTATTTATTCAATAAGAAAGAACCTGGTATATCTGATATAGTGTCTAATACATATGAACTTTAATGGCATATTGAAAGAAATCTTAATCATAGGAACTATGTAAGATACTGCTGTATTTTATTCTCATTTTTGCTTTATCACCTTCTGGCATCCTGGGAACGGATGTCAGTCACTTGTGTTTTCCTAAATCTCTTTTTCAGGATTAATCCCTCTGTAAGCCTAACATGAAATGGAGCTTTTTTTTTAAGTGAGAATTTTTATTATCAATTCAAATATACATGTATGTGTATGTCTTAGTCAGGGTTTCTGTTGCTGTGATGAAATACCATGATGAAAAATCTGGTAGGGGAAGAAAGGATATATTTGCCTTATACTACCATTTCATTGTTCATCATCAACAGAAGTCAGGATAGAAATTCGAACAGGGCAAGATCCTGGAGGCAGAAGCTGGTGCAGTAGACAGTTACAGCTAACTGTTTGGATCCTCATGGCTGGCTCAGTGTGCTTTCTTGAAGAACCTGGGACCATGGACCCAGTGATGACACCACGTCCAATGGGTGTGTCCTCGCCATCAATCACTAATTATGGAAATTCCTACAGGGTGGCCTACAGGTCCATCTTAAGGAGACATTTTCTCAGTTGAGGGTCCCTCCTCTCAGATTGCTTTAGCTTGTATCAAGTTAACATCAGACCATCGAGCACAGGTATTTAGATTTGGCTCAATAAAACTAGGTGACAAAGGTATGCTTTCAGTAACGGGAGGAAGGTTGTGGACGTGTATGTGTAAAGATCTCTATTGTCTTTTTGCGCAGGTGAAAGTAGAGATGATGTTTAAGTGATTCAGGGAATCCTGTTTGGAGATGAATCAATTCCTTCAGCATAAGGGCTTAGCACGGGTGCAACCAAGACAATAACTTTCATTTGTCGACTTAGCACTTTGTATCATTTTAAAAAGTTAAGTACACCATTAAATGTTGGGATTTATAGTTATTTATGAGGATAAGCAATGAATAACATAATCAATAACATAGTGTCTGTCAGGGTTAGTGTCATATATCTGTAACATTTAGGAACAGAGGTCAGAGGACCACGGATAATCTTGGCTACATAGTAAGACTTTCTCAAAATAAATATTGCCCCTGTCAGGTAGGTGTTTTATATTTCTTGTATGAAGATACAGGAAATTGTACATAACACATTATTTAAAGAGTAAAATAATTGAAAATAAAAAAATGACAAGACTAAGCTACTGAAAAAGATAGCATGGTAGGAGAGAAGCTTAGTGTGGGAGAAGAGAAGAGTACGGGGTCCTTGGAAAAGTTCCCCAGTGAGGAGAAATGATGGGGAAGACTGTGATATCCAGGGGTCTGGAAGAAGGAGAGAAAAAGGCAATGAGGATGAAACCAAGAAGGTCAAACTGAATGGGAGGAGACATTCTCAAAGAAAGTGGAGCTGTGTTTAAATAAAGGGTCTTGTTATTGACTTAGGCTTTCTCATAGGGCTTCTCTGCGAAAGTCAGTGCAAGTGTTATAAAACAGAACTAACTCTACCATCTGGTCTACAGACTAAAAGAAGACTCCGACTGCAATAAAAAAGTGGAACACTAGAAAAGAGGGAGGAAACAGGGAAACCATCTCCAAGATGAGTCAGAGGCGTGCACCAAAGTGAGTTTGTGTTGCTGTTGTAATTTTTCTAATTAAAACTAATTCCAATTTCCTAGAGCTGATGAATGATCTAGCAAATTGATTCTGCCAAACCGTATGAAGGAAGAGATTATTGATAAGTACAATTGTGGCTATTATGTTTTGCATGATAAATATTCTCACAAGACCTGTAATGCCAAAGTCCTGGTCATCAGCCTGTGACATAAATGGTAAGAGATGGAACTTAAGAGGTGGGGCCTAATGATAAAATTTCCTTCAAGAGGTATTGTTGAAGGGAATGTTGGGTTCTCTCTTTTCTTTTGCTTATGACCATGATGGGGTGAGCAGCTTTGTACTCATGTGTGATCTCTGCCGTAATGGTTTACTTCAGGCCCAAAACATTAAAATTAACAAACTATGGAATGAACGCTTTGAAACAACAAAACCAAATAAATCTGCCCTTCTGAAGTTGGACAGTGGTGGCACACGTTTTTATCCCAGCACTTGGGAGGCAGAGGCAGGTAGATCTCTGTGAGTTTGAGACCAGCTAGTTCCAGGACAAGCTCCAAGCTACAGAGAAATGCTGTCTTAAAGAACAAAACAAATAAAACAAAACAAAACCCCAAAACAGCAAACAAAAAATTTCCCCTTTTTTTAAGTTTGTCATCTCAGGTATTTTGTTATAGCATGTGAATGCTTGACATAGGGATTGATCAGAAATGAATTATGTATGCGAAGGAATGCAAACTCAGAAAGTGACAGTCCAAATTCACAGTTTCATGACTTTCTCTAAAATCAAACTTACAAAGTTTGAGAGCAGGTAGTGTTTGCCAAGGTAAGGTAAAGAAGGGAGTTACTTCAATGAAGCATTTTGGGTTGATGGAATGATTGCATATCTTCACTACAGTACTACCGTACTACTGTCAAAAATCACAGAGTTACATGACAGAAAAGTGATTTTTTTTCTTATATAAGTCTTAAGTAAGTTGTTATAGAAGTTAAAAAAAATGTGTTGCCAATCAGTAATTTTTGCAAGGATTGTGTATATTTTTCATTGAGGAGTTTCCTTGACATAATTTCGTCCATCCAGCTTCCTTCTTCTTACCTTATCTTCCAATGGGCACATGTCTCTATTAGATTAGTTACAGTGTTAGTAAATGAATAGTTAATCAATGTCATGGTTAAACTACTTATTTTTTCTCTGAGCTACTGTTTCTGTTTGACAAAGAATGTTGTAACTTTCACTATTTCTGTCTGATGTGGCTGGTGAGGATTGTCTTTGGGTTTTCAGTTACACAACAAATATATGGTGTGGGATTCCCCTCTGTGTGCTGTGAATACCATTGGTTAATAAAAAAACTGTTTTAGGCCTATGATAGGGTAGAGTAGAGCTAGGTGGGGAAAGCTGAACTGAATGCTGGGAGAGAGGAGGCAGAGTCACAGAGAAGCCATGGAGCTGCCATCAGAGACAGACACACCCAAACTTTGCTGGTAAGCCACAGCCTTGTGGCGATACACAGATTAATAGAAATGGATTAAATTAAGATGTAAGAGTTAGCCAATATGAAGCTAGAGCTAATGAGCCAAGCAGTGATTTAATTAATACAGTTTCTATGTGGTTATTTCGGGGAACAAACAAGTGGCCTCTTATTACAAATATGTACCGTGGTACTATGTACCATGTCTAGAACTAAAATGAATTTTCTGGTGAATAGAACAAAGTCTATATTTTTTTGTTAGTAACTCAGATTGACAAAGATATTAATAAAAAATGCCTAAATGAATAAGATATATTCATTGCCATTTAGCACATTGTAAGGTAATAATGTCAGGCCCACAAATGTGGTGTCACAAAAAAATTTAACATTTTGGTTTCTGTAACAGATACACGTTATTAATCATCAATATGTTAGGAGAACTTTAATTCCTGAAGGAGGGTGTGGGGGAAGGAGCTGGCTCAAGCTATGATAAACTTATATTTAATTGGCACCAGAAAGTCAATTAATTAATGAATAATGGAAAATAGAACAACCATGGGGACCAGTATTCAAAGTATCTGGTTAGCACATTCTTTCCCAGGAGAAAACTCCCTACTTTAATAAAGATCAGCAATTGGCTTGGTGAATATGCAAAGACAGAAAATATTATGAGCTGTGACAACGCTAGACCAGGCAGGCTAACAAGAGCATATTCAGTCAAACAAGGGTTCTCCCAAGAAATACTGAAAGCATATGCCTCCAAATGCATTGTGTGGTATAGACACTGATTTTGCCACTTCTCTTTAGAATACACCTTCATTCAATGCACCCAAATTCCAGTTTTGAGGATTATTGAATTATATCATAGTTAAAAATATGAACTTTGGAGACATGTGGATCTAGTCCTAAGAATCTCAGATCCTCAGTATGTTCATAGTTCTCAGGGAAAAGTCTTATTTGTGGAGTGAAACAGACCCATATGTGGCTCCCTGCCATGAGATCTACTGTTATGTGACCATGTGCAAATTATTTCCATTGCTTTGTCTTAGTTTCTTCTCTACAAAATATAGGTATGGTAGTTCCTTTGCATAATACAGTTACAAGAGTTCTATAAGAGAGTGCCTATAAAATGCTTATAAAAGTAAGCACTGGATGACAACTCACAGCTGTGTATTCAATCAGCAGCAGGACTATTACCATCACCCCCATTGCTGCCATTTAATACTCAAAGTGGCTCAAAACTCAAGTATTTAAAGAAAATATTCAATTCCCAATGTACTCTTTGAGGAAGACTTAGCTATAATGTCTTGATGTGGTATTACCAAGTGTCATAAGCCTGTGGGGTCTTTGTAATGGTTATTTGAGCTTATTCTTCTATGTGTAGACTGATTATTTCATGTTGCTTACTAAATGCTAACTTGGACCAGGCACTGTAGGTGGCTGGCAAGTTAGACAGTTGAGAGTAGGTCTACTATCTATCTGGTCAAAATCTTTCAGATGTTGCTTATTACTAAACTGAATAGTGCCCTATCTGGACTGATTCTCTTCTAGAATGTTAGGTCTATGGTTTGGAAGTGGTAATGTTTTCCAAAGCTGATCTCCTAGAAGTTTGGTCCTCAGTGTTACGATGCTATAAAGTCCCTTAGGGAAAATGGATAGGTGCAATGTAAATTAGAACTCTTGGAACAGATTGATGCTAGTTTCACAGAATGAGTTGGTTATTCTCATAGGATGCCACCACCATGAGGTACCCACCACAGCTGAAGACAAGCTGACACCATGCTCTTCAATCTTTAGGGCTATTATTTAGAGACCCTTATTTGCTCAATATAGTACTCAGCCTCGGGTATTATGTAGTAGGAATGGAAAAGGATGTGCTTAGAGAAACAAATGTTTCCTTACTCTCAAGAAATATGTCTGAAGGAAAGAAGGAGAAAGAAACCCCAAATTTCCATTCTTTAAAAATTATTTTGCATGTATTTATTATTTTATGAATCTATTTATTTTGTATGGGGATGGTGGTGCACATACCACAACATGTGTGCAGAAGACAGAGGATCCCATACCGTAGTCATTTCTCTCCTTCTACCAAGCAGTTCCCAGGAACCAAATTCAGGTGACCACACTTTACTCACTGGGTCATCTCACGAGCCCCAAGATTTCATTAGTTATTGTATGAAGACTAAGAAATGTGAATGGGCAAAGAGCCAAGTATCCAACAGAGCAAGAATCACCACAAGTACTATGACTCTCCAAAACTACACAACAGGAAGTGGACAGAGATGTTAGGCATTTGCATTTGTAGCTAAGAAAATACAGAGAGCAAAATTGCACAATGGGAAGTGGACAGAAATGGGGGGCATTAGAATTTTTATGCAAGAAAATAAGGAGGACTGTACTGATTTAATTCAGTACTAATAACAGAAGTTGTTTGACATGCCAACAACTCCTTAATGCCCCAAAGAATCCCAAATGTACACCATCCATCACCTCTGACAGGGGGATTATCCCAGTCTGTACTGAGAAAAAAAGAACACAAAACACTGTTTTCTATGAACTAGTGTTTTTGTTTTGTTTTGTTTCTGTTTTAAGACCTTTCTTGATAAATCTTCTGCCTGTTGGTTTTCTCTGTTCCAATTAAAGTCGATGCCTAAATTCACTTTGTGGATATAATAACTAGGATTTCTTTCAGGGTGCCATTCCTAATTAAAAGCAGCATTTACAGAGAAAGGCTTTTACATACTTATGTATTACCTTATTCAATCCAAGCAAATTGCTTCCCTGTGTAAACTTCTGAATAGTTTCATTTCTTCAAACACTAAAAGTCATTCTAATGTAGATTTTGCATTAATTTGGGGAAAAGAAAATGGAGCAAATTCTAATTGGAATTACTATTTCTAAAATTAATTCTTGACTTTTTAAAAATAGATACAAGCACTCATATTTATAAATGTCTCTCTGTGTATTCTGATCTGCACGATCTGAGTGAGTGCTTGACACATTGGTGATTCTGAAACTTACAGTTTTCCTTCTTTGCATTTGTCTTGCTTCAGAAAAGGGGCTTGGGATTATGCAGGAGACAGGGTGAAATGAAGAATATACCACAGGCTGTTTACACCCATCAGCCAATTCAATCCTAAACAGGTCTGCAATTTATCCTTCCCCCACTTTTAAAGATGAGAAAGTTGAGGCAGAGCAAGTCTCTGCGATCTGTCTGAGGTCTTTGACTCACATGGTTCCAGGAAAGATTCAAACCCAGCAGCTGTAACAGGAGTATCCTCTCCTACCCACTCCACCACCAATGGCAACACTGTGGGCTCAGGGAGAGGCACTGTTTTTTGAAAGATAGACAAAGGAGCCTTAAGGATATGACTTTTTTTTTTTCTGTCTCTTTTACATGGGGAAAACTTCTTGGCCCTTCTGTTCTTGAGTTATTTTTTTCAACTTATCAAATAGAACAATTGTGCCAGCTGAATTGAGTCTAAAGGGAGGTCAAAGTTAATGCAACCTTTGTCTATTGGTCTGTCTGCTTTTCCTTACTTT